CTTAATATTTATTATGTGGCGCTTACTTTGTTAATAAAAACTTTTGTTCAATTTTTCTTTTGCATTTGACATCACTCAAGGCAGTGATTAAAACAAATGAACATTTTCTTGGTGCACCCAGTCACTGAAACTTAGGTGATTGAAACATTTTGCCCAAAAAAAAAAAAGCAGAGCAAGATGACATAATTTTCATCATTGGAAAATAGAGCTACTCTTCTTTATCGTTAAAAATAGCCACTTCAACGAAGCTTCGTTTGTTTTTCGAAATGTTAATGTTACTAAAATAAAAATATTTGACGCAAGTCCGTGTCGACGTAATCTTTCGTCATTTGCCAATAAGTTAATTTTTTAACTCTGCAATAAACTGTGACCAATATTATAAGTGAAGTTAAATTTACCTTAAATATTATAGGTAGCCAAAATTAGCATTGGAGTTCCTAAAGTTGACTCACGTTTGTTTGCCTCATGGTAAGCCAATCTCCCCATTTGGTGCTGTAGGTCGTAAAAGACAACGATAGTAAAGATTAGAAAGAAACACCCAATGGCATCCGATAGATGGCGGTATACCGTCTCGTGTAGTGTGTAGGGTATGTTCCGAAACACAACCCAGTACACTGTCGAATGCAAATGACGTCATGAATCGACGCTATACTATTCCAAAACATAGGACAGTATATGACGTCATACATTTATGCCATATTGGAAAGGTGTTGGCGATTATTTTGTCATTTTGTGCTCTAAAAATTAAAAATGTTTTATTTCAGTAAATCATTTTACAGCTATTTCCCGAGGCCTCCCAGAAAGTAATCAAAAATCATTATATCTTCCTAATGAAGATACCAGCAAATATTCTATAGTTTTTTGTATTTGAATAAATAAAAATAAATTCTGGCATGCTTCATTAAGCGCACACACAATTAAAAATTGTTTTATTGTGGCCGGATATCCGACGCAATATGGCGGCGGCACGCCGGTACAATATAGTGTCAATAGATGACGTCATTTGCATTTGCCAGTGTACTGAGTTGTATTTCAGAACATACCCCTAAGCTACCTGTATCAGCGATGAGAAACAGCGTCAAAAATAAGAGCAATCTGGTACTGCGGCAATCAATTCCCTAAAGGAAGATAAAAAAGAAGAATAATGAATAGGTATTAAATATTGAAAGAAATTCTATCACTGTCATTACAGTGCACCATAAATCAGTGTAAGAATATAAATCTCATAAGATGAGTGTCTTTAGAGTGCGCTAAGGGTAAACATATAAATAGTAGCCGTGGTAGTTCAGATGAGAGAGTTCAGTGAATGTCACAGTACGCGAGCAAACCAGGTTCGATCCCCGCCGACACGACAAGTGCTGATTTAACACATAATCGGCGGTGAAGGAAAACATCGTGAAGAAACCGGCATGTCTGAGAAATAAGAAAAAAATATACTTTGAAGACATCTGAAGTTCGCCAATACGCATTGGGGCAGCGCGGCAGACCATTCCTTGCCTTAAAACCCTCACAGAAATGAGCGTAGACCTGTGCCCAGGAGTAGGACGTATATAGGCTGTAACTTTAAACTTTTTTTTAACCTTAAGGAAAAATAAAGCTGTGTCATTTGGGAGATAATAGAATGACTACCGCACATTCCAACATCGCTTGGTGGCGACGTAAGAGCCCATCCTATTTTGCCTTGTGGTTATTTTAACAGGCATTTTTCAACAGTCTTCCTGATACTAAGTGGCTACAACAATTATCTGGCACTTGTTTCAAATCTCAACTAATTCTTCTTTCTGAGGACTAAAACAAAAAAAAACATCAACATCATTACAGCCCTTCACAAGTCCACTGCTGAACATAGACATCTGCGAGGATTGACACAAAGCCATGTGCATCCATTGACTTCCTGCGTGTCTTACCAGGTTGTCACTACATCTAAAACAAAAAACCTAACAGCCTGTTATTTTAAATGCCTTAAATCAGAAAATACACATACATTACTGCTTGACTCATAACAAATGTCATAAAGGAGCTTGCAATAACACTCAAAGGAGTTTTTGCAATAATAAAAAGAAATCGTCACTTTTAATATTTTATTAATCTGTTATCATTCTCAAAACAGTTCATAATTTATATATCTGGGTTCAAATCCTGGATCAAGAATCGAAAATCAATTATTAGGATTTATCATAAAGAAATTCTTAGCAGCCTAGATTCAAGAAGATGGTGTAGTTTCACCTCTGTGCCTCAAAAATTTAATAAAACTGCTAGCCCAGTGCCTGATCCCTCCGGTTGTGTCCAACCACCACCCCTTTAGACTATGAGAGTAAGGAAATAGAGAGTGCACCTGTGTTTACCCCACATACTCAAGCACTATAATCCTGTCCAGCGCAGATGGCTCGCCATGACCAAAATTTGGTCTGGAAGACATTATTATTATGGAGATTATTATATTAATGTAATGCATGTATATATTTTCTATTAATGTAATGCACACACACACACACACACACAAATATTTTGAAATATTGTAAATCCTTGTGTATCATGTAAAATTTGTTGAGAAATGTTATATTTTTATTTTCTTGTAATCTGTGTTTTGGAGCAACTTTAAAAATCAAAATTAAAAATACGTTTTTAGATTAAGTATTGAAGTAAGTAGGTATCATTAATCAGTAGTAAATATATTCATTAATCAATGTTATAGAGAGGGGGGATTTCTAACACAAGTATTTATTTACTTAAAAGAAATCCTCATTCACAACACTGCTATGTAAAAACTCTGATACTGAATAATTTGATATATGTTCCTTTTTTTGACCATGTTAGACAATACCTCCCTGTGACAATGCCTGCAGATTTAGCTAGTATCAAGTGTTTCATTAACCCGTTAGCTCTCGCTACGCCCACATGTGCTCAAGAAATAAACACCTTACGCTCGCTCGATCAAGGTGCACATGTGGGCGACAAGTACTACCCTTTGAAAAAGAATTTTTTTAATTAAAACAAAACCAAAGACACTATGCAATAGATAATAGTATCAAAGAAAAAGATATGCTCTTTTATTTTAAACCATAACCTGGCAATGTTTCTTAGAAAAAAAAAAAAAGAAATCACTCTGAACTTCCGGCGTTCCACGTGTCACTTTGTTGTAGGTGCTCCGTCTTTTTTATAGAATTTTATATTTGTGTCTGGACTAAAAACGAAAGTATTATACTTTTTTATATTCCTTGTAATATAGTAAACACGTAGATATGTAATTTGTGGTATAAAAAGTGAAAAGTAAATTGCCAAAAGTACTTCAAATTCCGGAAAGCCCGTTTTGGCAGGTGAGTTATAAATGTGTTATTTTTCAAATTCTCATTTATTTTTAGTGTAAAATGTAAGTAAAAATAGTTTTCGTATATATTTCAAATAACATGACGTTGTATTTATTTCAAATTCACACAAACATATTTTAGAAATATTGTTCGAAATGTCATACAGATAAAATATTATTTTATTTTTTTTTTTAATTTTTATAATATTTTAATATTTTGGTATGAGTAACGAATGGAAACACATAAAACATAAAAATATACATGTTTCCAAACATTTTCATATAAATTTCTCCAAAAACAAAAGTGTAGAATTCAAATTAGTAGTAATTTTGGCACTAAAAGTGAAGTATATACTACTACTTATGCTATAAAGGGTAATTTATGAATTTTATTATAATTTCTAACAACCAAAATAATTTTATTCAATAGTTTATACATTCAACAAGAATTCCTGTAAGTTTTATCCATAAATATTGTCTCAAAGTGAAAATATAGCAAAATTTGCAATATAGCAAAAAATTTGCTAATTTGCAAATTTTCCCGCCATTACGGTCGCAAGCGAACGGGAGTGTCATATTACGCGTGGCCTCGAGAGCTAATGAGTTAAGAGACACAAATACAATTTTACATGAACAAAATTATACTATATAAAAGTTAATAATAGTAATTTTAGAAGAAATAAAATAGTTTTTCAAATTTATAACACAAATAATCATAAAATGGATTTAAGTGGCAAAAATATTAGTTTAATATTGTTACTGGATTATCCTTTGTGCAAAAGGATTGTAAACTTAATCATCATAATGAAAAAGTTTTAAGATTAAGATATAGGTAATGTATAATCAGATTTTTTTATTGATGTAATAATAAGAATTTACCTCAAATTTGGAGGTATAAAGATATAAAGAAATAACATCCTCCCGACAAATTTCAGTCATGGCGGCCAGTCTCAATGGAGATTAGCCATCTTGCGCAGGACATGGTTATAGGGGCCGAGTGTATGCGCAAGCACAAATGCACTCCATACTCAATCACTCCGTGTGATGGGACAACAAGCATACACAACCAGAGCGGGTTCAAGCGCAGAAACAACGGCTACTTTACATGCTTTTCAAGACATGGGGTTGAAATATCACCAACTTTCTGGTTCTGGACTGCCACTGAGCATTTCTTGACAGAAAAACCCAATAGCTGATTTTGGACCGACACGAGCCCTCATGATCAGCAATCGCGCTTACTACCACTAGACCAACGAGGCAGTCAAAAAAATTATAAAACAACTGTTGTCACATGTTAGTGGATGGTATAATATGATAATCGATCTAAAACCTCCGTGTCTTAATATGCTGAGAATAACAATTTATTACCTGTCATTAATAATTTAAATTATATACATAAAACTACAGTCTACGGTAAAACATAATGAAGACTGAAAGAAAATTGGCGAGACGATCAAATGACGGATTTATGTCAACTCCAGACAAACACCATAATGGCTGGCAATTTAACGTCACGCACGTAAGAGAACAACACATATTTAGTAATGGTATGTATATTTATAAAAATTCGTTCAAATAACTTAACTCGTAGGATATTAAAAGTACATAACAAGGCCAAAATTTCATTTTCCATTTTGCAAGTGGGTGGACGCATAAATGGAACTGACGTTTAATGTAATATAAGACCACTTACCAATTCTGGTCCCAATGCGATATAAAGAAATTATATCATTACACTAATCCTACTTACTATTTTAACAAAACATTAAAATTGAAATTAATTATTTAGGAAAACAAAAGAAGCAGATAATATACGCAATGCAAACACAGTAAACACACCTCACAAAACTAGTGTCATAGATTATAGATATAGATTACTAATCATAGAGTAGAGTAATATGTACAGAAATAGAGAGCCATCTCCTAGGATTTTTTGTCACCCAATATGAATAGTGTCGCCGTCTGGTATCATATCCCTTGAACTAATCTCAATATCGTGTTGACTATAGATAGCTGTTTGCAGCTATCTACACTATAGGCGGTTATATTTATATTTTAAAGGATTAGTGTTCAATTAAAGACGTATTATAGATTTCAGTAATATTAAGATTTATTTTGTTATATATATATATTTAACATACACGGTGAAAAAGAGTCTATTCCGCAAAATACAACACCAAACCAAATTAAATATGTCCACCGGGTTACCGGCATGATAAATGAAAGCGTCTATTTCGCACAACACTACACAAACATACAATGTGATTCCAGCATGAAAATCTAAACAGACAACAAGAAACAGAGGGCTAAACCCAACTCAACCAAACTTATTGCAGCAACAACCGAACATCACTTATAAACTATAATAAAACAACAACTTGCTCAGACGCCGGTAGCCATTATGTCATGCCATTGAGTTGCTACTTGTCAGTTCGAGAATAGACAGAATTGGTGTAGTCGCCATCTAGCGCACCTTTTAGAATTTAATGTTCGAAAGTTTATGCGGATATCGTACAAGATGGCACTAGTGTCTTTGCAAATTATTGAACCCCAACCTAAAGTATGGAAGTTTACCTCCCCTGTTACTAATACTAAGACTACAGTAGACAGAGAACTCTGTCTACGAATACTATATTATTTTTTATGACTAGGACCACAGACTAACTAGTAGTAATCTGTGGTATATAGGTATTATCGTATTATCTTTGAGTATGATTATAGTAGATTATAGTAACGTCCCATGTCCACAGCGTAGACAGAGAAACCTATAGACTAATGATTAGCGCGGCCTTGAGTGAGAAAGGACGATAACGTAGTTTTAGGTTATACAATAATCTTTATGACTTTTAAACATATTTAGATAAAAAATGTAATTGTTCTAAGAACTGAACTGAACAAGATTCACCAATCTTAAACTCACAAAACACTTTTTTCTCACTTAAACCGACTTGTAAACTCCTTCGATCGCTACTGTCATAGTTGTTTAGCAAAGTGTAGATTGTTAAACAAAAAAACCGGCACGGAGAAAGGTTAAAACAATCACACCGCTCTGTCTCATTTCTATGCAAGACGTATGCATAATTCCATCTTTTTCGTGTGCGAATGTGAAAGAAGGCGTCAATTTGTCTATAGGTTTCTCTGTCTACGGTCCGCAGTCACTCCCGTTGACAGGGAATTATGGAGTGTAGAGGTAAGGATAAGAAGTGCAGACTCTGTATAAAAAAGTGTCCGTTGGAAAGCGCTAAATAAGGGGTGGCGCCAATGTAGCTACAGTCTAAATTTTAAAGAATTTTTTATAATATTTTTATTGCACAGACTTTCACCATAATTCTTTTTACAATAATTATTTTATTGCTTTAAAATTTTTATTTTCAAAATCACTGTCAACGTATTTTACGGGGATTTATCATACCCTGTAGCTAATCGAGCACTGTTGTGGAGAGTTTTTGAACTGTTATTTACTGCTTACGGATGGACACATTTTCAATTATTCTCCTATGGAAGATCGTCCTCCTTACCTTTATACTCCATGTAGAGAATACTACGAATACTAGCAATCTCTATCAACGGTCACTCCACAGTCCACATAGATTAAAGGCTGCAGTACACTACTCGCGAAGTTCCTCGCCGGAAGTATTCCCCGAGGTCAGCCGAGGTACAAGGAGCCTCACCTCGCTCACACGCTAGGTGAGATGGGGGACGTACAAGTGACAGCTGTGTTTGCTTTGTGCACTGTTGCGTATTTTAACTATGTGCGTATATTGGATGCAAAAAAATAAATAAAAATAATAATTTCCAGGGTCCCATATTAGCGTTTCCCCCTGGAGCAACTCCTAAAGCAATAGTATTTGCTCTTGTGACCAATTCATTTTTGGCCTAAGCAACTTGGATCGTATTAAAACATTTTAAAATTAAACAGCATAACGTTAACTTTATATAAGTAAGCCGAGTAATGTACAGGGTCACTTCGTGCTCAAAACTTTGGTCCTTTGACTCGGGCGGAAAAAACCGACAACGAACGGAAGTCACCGAGGAGAGGCGAGGTTGCCCGAAATGAAGCCCGAAGTCCTTGTACACACACGTCTTTGCCTAACTTCGTTCAATTTTGCGAGCAGTGTAATGCAGGCATAAAAGACAGTGGGCGGCAGACTTACGGTATTATATTATATATAGTTTTAGTAATTTTTAATGTTGAAGTAGTTTTTATTTATAATTTTTAATCTTAAATTATTTAACTTTTTTTGTTATTTTTGTTTACACATTTGTTTAATTTTGAACATTATTTTTGTAAGATTATTTAAGATATTGCAAACTTCAAACGAAATGGCAACTATACGAAAAATAACCGCATTGCGTTGTGCTAAATGCCAACAAATAATTAAAGGAAAGGAATTTTTAAACTGCTCTATATGTTACATGTACTATGACATTGACTGCACGAATGTTTCATCAAAGCGATATTACTTAATGACAACCGAAAGCAAGGAGAAGTGGAAATGTACTTTGTGCATTGAGAATAAGGGGAGTAAACGAAAAGGTAATTTAAGTGACACATCGTCAACTGAAGTCCCGATAATAAAAAAACTCGATCAAAAACACACCTTTAAAACATGATAATACGAGTACGGGGGGAATCAAGTAAAGTAAACATAACTGTTAGAAATAAACTTGAGAAAAGAAATTCATCTTTAAGGAATATATTGCATTCCGATTCGGATAGTAGTAATATAGAATTAATGCCGGAAACATCTCCAAGAAGTTTACCTGATACTACCCTACTAGAAAATTCACAAATTATTGATCTTAAAAATGAAATTGATCAATTAACTCTGCAACTGACCAGTGCACATAATGAAATTATGGAGTTAAACTTAGAAAATACAAATTTAAGAAAAACCCTAGAACAGTACCAGAAAAAAGAAAGTGTTTACAAGAAACTACTCGACAGTCCACTCAAACACGGCGCTATTTCCAAATCCTGCAAAAAAGAGCCCAAAGAATACAACTCTAGTATTAACCAAAATTCAATATTTAAAACAGTTCGTTCTGAAAAACCGAGTTCTGATCATACTGTCCAAGAGAAGAATGAATGTTCTTTAGAATCAGAAGAAAAAACTGTAACTATTAAAACTAAAGTCAAAGACAAAAATCAAATTCTTATTGTTGGTGACCAGCAAGCTTTAGGAATGGCTTCAGCTTTAATGAAAATTCGGTCAAGGTATAAAAACCCCCGTCAATATAATATATCGGCATTTACATATCCTGACACTCCTACGGATGTTATTTTAAAAAAACCACTACAAAATGAAGTTCAAATGGGTGCAGATGATTGGATAATTATTTCAGTTGGCGCTAATGATGTTAACCCCTACAAAACATTTGCTGAACTATATTCTTTTCTAAAACATCATAGAGAACAGAAGATATTGATCACGAATATAATTCGCAATCCATCTCTAAATGAACATAAATTCAATCGTTTGTTAAATTCACTTAGTTTATATTATTCAAATTGCTCATTTATTGATATACCACATATGTCAAATAATAATATGTTTAGCACAAAGTCTAAATTTAAAATGGTTTATGAAATTAATAAAAAAGTTGATTCAATAGACTATACAAAATATTTTATACATAATAGAAATATATCACAGACAAATTGTAAAAATAAAAATGCTTATAAGCCAGGGACCATTCCATTCTACTTTACCAAAATGAATCGCAACGTCAATATGAATAAAATAACAAAATCTGCTGAAAATAATAGTGTTATTAACCGTGTCTCAAATTATAGGAAAGGGACAATTCCGTTCTATTTTAAACCAATCAATAAAAAAATTAGCAATAACGTAACTACTAACAACCAGTTTTTTCACTAATAAGAACGTTCTGAATATTTTACATATTAATATACAAAGTTTAAAATCTAAATTAAGCAATATTGAAATTTTAACGAAAGAAAGAACATTAGATATACTTTGTTTTACGGAAACGTTTTTAAGAGAAGAAGAAAAGAACTTTTACAAGTTACATGGGTATAAAATGATGGCTATTTATGCAAGAAAATCGAAATCTAGAGGAGGTGTTTGCATTTACACAAGGAGTAATATAGATTCCAAAAATATAGATTACTTAAATCAACTGTCAATTGATAATCATTTTGAAAGTTGTGGTATAATTATTAGTGAATTAAATCTGATTGTTGTATGTATATATAGAACCCCTAACAGCGATTTTAACATATTTATCGAAAAACTTGAAATTTTACTTGCTAAACTAATGGTACGTCTACGTAACAATAAAATAGATTAATATTATTAGGAGATTTTAATATAGACACGTTAGCTAATAGCAAAAGAAGAAGTATCTTTATTACAACTCTAAGGAAATACAATCTACATCTTACTATACAAGAGCCAACTAGAATTACGGCTTATTCTGCAACTTGTATAGACAACATAATAACAAATGCTAATAAGTATGAATCTCAAGTACTTAATTTGGGATTATCAGACCATACTGCGCAATTAATTAGTATTGCATGTAGATATAACTTTGGGAAAAAACACTGGTTCATTTATAACAGAAATATAGATTCCAATCTACCGATGTTAAAGTACTTATCCCAAATTGGATTCAGAGAAGTTTATGAGGAAAAGGATGTAAACTTGGCATATAAATCATTCTTTAATACATTTAACTTGA